TTTATTTAAAAATTTAAATTTTTAAATAAAATAATTATCTAACCTCGATTGGATAAAAAAAACAGAACCTACATAAATGCTTTCTTTTCTCTATATATATCCCTTCATAAATGAGTTTATCTATAACATTTCCTGTGTTTTCAGATAGGCACTTAGCTATTAAATAATAAGATCAATTGCATCTTCTTTTCTTTCTTTGATTTACAGCATCTACCTTTAATTTGAAGTTATTTAAATACTGACCTCTCGAGGTGGGATGTGAAAACAAATTCCATCATAGCACTTTTCACTGAAAATTGATTAGACTTTTTACTTTAACATTGAGTTGAGAGTATAATGGATGTTTGGAAATGTGGTATTTATTATTTTTTAAATTTTTTTATTTAAAAAATATTAAAATAATATTTTTTTTTAAAATTATTTTTAACATATCAAAATGATTTTAAAATACTAAAATATATTAATTTAAAATAAATTTAAATATTTTTTAAGACATTTTAAAACATAAAAACAAACCTTAAAAAGTTCTCATCATTCAACGTACCTTCAGAATGGTAGCAAGAATGAGAAAAAAAGAAAGAAAGAAAAAAAGGAACAGACATTAATAAAGGTAGACCCAACAATTTCGGATTCACAGACCAAAACAATCCCCTCCCTCCATCCCTCCCTCCCCTCTTTTTTTTTATCCAAAAAATTAGACCCGCCCAGAGCCTGCCTCCTCCCTGAACCCAAAATATTTTGGCTATGGTTTTTAAAATTCAAAGCCACCCCCCAAAACGCAAAATCTAAAAAAATAAGAAACCCAAAAACGCAACGAGCGCCAAAGTCTCCTCCTTTCAAAAACAAAATCATGGCGCTCCCTCCTCCTCTCTCTCCGCCACTACAAAATCTCTCCCCTCCTAACACTCGCAAACCCCTCTCCACCTCCCTCTCTCCCACTCCAAACGCAAAACGAGGCAACTGACTTGGTGAGTGAAGAAGAGTAAAATGAATTCAATTTCAGAGAAAGAGAACTGTGTCCGCATTACTCGCGCTGCCAAAAAGAGGGCGGCGGCGCTGGCTTCAGCCGAGGACCGGCCCTTGAATAAGAAGAGGGTTGTGTTGGGAGAACTTCCCAGCTTATCGAACACCACCGTTTCAGTGAATAAGGTACATAAGCAGAAAGCAAAGACAAAGTCAATTACCAGCAAGGGGACTTTAACGAAGAAGGAGGGTGTTTTGAAAGAGGATGTTGATGGGAAACCTGAAGATCCCCAAATGTGTGCACCATATGCATCTGATATTTATGAGTATCTTCACAAAATGGAGGTAAAGATTGGTTTTTTTGTGACGTGATCTGTGGAAATGTAATTAGGGTTTGTGTGGTTTAATTGATTTATGGGGTTTATTTACCAGGTGGATCCAAAAAGAAGGCCTTTGCCTGATTACATTGAGAAGGTTCAAAAAGATGTTAGCCCCAATATGAGAGGGATTTTGGTGGATTGGTTGGTTGAGGTTGCGGAGGAGTACAAGATTGTCTCTGACACTTTGTATCTTACTGTTTCTTACATTGATAGATTCTTGTCTTTCAATGTTCTAAATAGGCAGAGACTTCAGCTTCTTGGTGTTTCTGCTATGCTTATTGCCTCGTAAGATCTGGGGTCCCTTGAATTTTGTTCATGTTTTTAAACTCTTGTTTTATTTATTTATTTTGTTTCACTTTGTTTGGATAAGTAGAAAGTATGAAGAAATCAACCCTCCAAATGTAGAAGATTTTTGCTACATAACAGACAATACATACACCAAGGAAGAGGTAATTAATTAATATTTCGTTTGTCTTACGGGTTCAGATTTCCAATGTTCAAGCTGTGATTTTTCGTTTGTTATTTTAATTAATGGTGGTTTGTGTGATTGTGAAGGTGGTTAAAATGGAAGCTGATATACTTAAATCTTTGAAATTTGAAGTGGGAAATCCTACAATAAAGACACTCTTAAGGTAAGATTTAAGAATGTTTTGATGTAGCTCTTTTATCCGCCTGCAATTGGTGATTTACTCATCATTGAAGGTTAATAGTTTGGGCTGATTTTTGGTGTTGTTTGTCATGATGGTTTTGCAGGAGATTTACAAGGGCAGCACAAGAGGATTACAGAGTAAGTGTGATCCCATTTTTCATTATTGAAGATTAATGGCTTGTATGCTCTGATGCTGGGAAACATTTGTTATCGTTGTTGACTGTTGTAATCTTTGTGCCTTCTGCAGACTTCGGATTTGCAGCTTGAGTTCCTGGGATTTTACCTTGCCGAGTTGAGCTTGTTGGATTACAATTGTGTGAAATATCTACCTTCTTTGGTGGCTGCTTCAGTTATTTTTCTTACAAGATTTCTGATGCGACCCAAGACACATCCTTGGGTAAGTAGTTTCAGGAATACTAATTTGTATCGATAGTAGTTTTTGGAGTGCAATTTCTAATTTTTGTTCATACAGAGTTCAACCTTGCAACAATACACTGGATACAAAGCAACGGATCTCAAGGATTGTGTTCTCATCATACATGACTTGTATTTGAGTAGAAGAGGGGGTGGATTACAAGCTGTAAGAGAAAAATACAAGCAGCATAAGGTATGGTTTCTGTCAGAACTCGTCAGGAAGTTGAGTTGAATTCTTGCATTGCAAAAGGGCATTTTGTTTACTCTGAATTATTCTCCTGGAACAGTTCAAGTGCGTGGCAAACATGCCTTCCCCTCCAGAGATACCAGCTTTATATTTTGACGAGGTTTAAATGCAAAAGTTTGCCCGGAAATTTTATGTTTTGGGATATGGCAAGTGATGGAAATTGATACTGCATCAGGAAGGCCTAGAAGCGAGAATTTGTAATGCAAAAGTCATGGCATTTTGGATTTACTATAAAATCTTGACTGATGTTTGGGGCCTCCGGGAACTCACTTTTTGGCCATGTGGAATGAATTATTGTGGTGGCCCATGCTCGTTCTTGTAGTTCTGATCCCTGGGACATTTATCCGGAGTATGAATGACATTGTTAAAACCAGCAGCTGGGTAACTGTGCTATTGCTGACTCTTCTCACTGGTAGAATAGTTGAATTTGCCAGGGAAGTCCTGTGAATAATGAAATTTTGTTTTTGGTTCTAATATTGAATGCTAAATGGCCATTATGAAAACATGAATTTTCTCTTATATCTGAGTATCTGAATGGTGCAAGAATATTAGGTTTTAAAACTGGTATCTATGAACCCTTGCTTGGTCACTTGCCTAATGAAAGTGAGATTTGTTGGGGTAATAAACATCGTTTTTAAATGAACAAAATTTTGATGGTGCAAAACCCTATTGTCTTACTGATTACTGTAGAATAGAGAAGTATTAAGAGAGTGTTTAAGATTGTAATTGGACTCCGCTTCTCAAAAATTTAGAAATCTTGTTTTAGCTTTAATTTTTTTATTTTTAGATTGTTTTGATGTATTTATGTTTAACATAAATTTTAAAAAACAATTTTTTCAACACTTTTAAGCAGACATTAAATGTTCTGTACCAAAGTTTCTACATCTGACTGAAAAAAAATGCACTTGAGAAAAACCAAGAACAGGTGACTCTTTAGTGATTCAGTTTTGATCTCCCAGCAAACCTCTGCTTAAAGGGTTTAGCCTCTTCATTACAGGCACCTTTGGCTGCTAATTGGTGCTGATCGAGTGAAAATTAGTAAAATAGGCATCTTGTAACATAAGAATTCACGTTGAGTGATGATGGAAAAAGATTGTAGTGTTAAGGCTGTAGAGTCAGGTCCATGTTAAGCAGCTCTGATGGTTGCATGTGTTCTGATACCATGTGAAAAGTAAAACTACCATCAGAGCTGTCTGGCTAGCCCCAAATCCCTTAACATTTTTTGAATCTTGCTATCATAAGGTCCCATTCCCTACTTGTTTTGTGGACAAGTGGATGGGAGTGAACACCAAGTGATTGGAATATTGGTTTACCAGCAAGCAAGCTTATCGTTGCCATATGCCTCTCACACTGGTACCTTTTGATTGCTCCTCTCACCCTCACGTGGGTGTTCCGGTCGCTACCAAGTTCTTGAGAAATATAGAACTTTCTTTTGCAGAAGCTACATTAGAAAACTTTGCTGGCAGTGGATTTTGATTGTGAACCCTGCTCCATATCCATGATGCAGTTTTTTCCTGCCGGGACTAAAGTTCAAGCACTCATTTGAATGACCCTTCTTCAGTATCTCTGAGTAACTATCTCTGAAGTGACTGATGTTCTGGAAAATCATCTTAAACGTGTGTTGATTTGAAAGGAGGCAGTCAAGGAAGCTATAATATTAGGCTCTTTATACGTTGTCGATGTGCCTCAAGAGGATTAGCTGATATAGAACAAGAAGATCAAAGAAACGAACTCAGAGATATATCTCATGGTGAGTGAAGTGGCAATGGATATGTGAAGATTTTATGTTCACATTTCTATGGTTTGTTTCCGTAATACTGCCTGTGTCCCCACGGCTTGTTTTTGGCGGCATACCAGGGCGTTGTCAGTTATGTCTATATAATCTATGTCAAAGCTTAGCGTTCACATGTTTTCTGCCTATATCCCTCCTCTAGCATTGAACTGGTCTGGTTTGAAGCAACTTTATGATTCGAATTTGGCAGCCACGCAAAAATTCCATCACTGTCATATCATAATCAAAGTTATACAAGTTGCATGCCATAGATTTCGGTTACTTTACCCAGTCTTTGCCTAGTGCTCTCAAAGCTTGATCCTGTCCTGATAGTATTTTTGGCACTGCTGCAGAGGATTTTGAAAAACATTTGGTATGAAAAAATTTGCAAATGATTTTTTAAAAATAAAAAAACATTATCAGTATATTTTTTTAAATAAAAAATATTTTAAAAAACAATTATAACCACCTCCCAAACACACTTTAACGTCACTGGAAGAGATGCATTGATTAATCAAGAGGTTGAAGAAAGGAGCGGCTAGAAGTGGCGCAAACAGACCGAGGATAGCCTAGTCTTATCCGCACGGATTATCGCACTACTACTTCTGCCGACTGAAGGTTCACGCCACTCGTTCTTTTTCATCTCTGGAACTTCATTAGCTACTTCTTTTTCGCTACACGTCAAACTTGTAGGAAAGTTATGATATATGTAACACTAATGGATGAGTTGTTGAATTTAACCAGGTTTTGTTTGCTAATCGCGATGATAAGAGGTGCAGATAGGTATATTTTATACGAACTCAAGGAACATTCCACCTTCCTTTGTCCTAGTGGGCTCGTGTAGTTGTCTTATACAGGGCAAAGTGCTTGGAGAACGAACATAGAATCAAGGTGTTCGTGAGAAATCCTGAGGAAACAGGTAGAGCCCAATTCTCTACTTGCTTTCATACGCCGGTAAGGCACTGGCAATTGAAGCTTCCATGTCACAACATGACCAGTGTGGTGGGTGGATTGATGACCCGGGAGGTTGGAACAGAGAGTTGTCTAATCGAAATTGCACCTTATCCACAAACGGAGCATCTAGATGGTGCTGGGTTCAGCTACAATGGTGGAAACTACGCCAGGTTCTCACAGATGGAATGCACAAAAGTGCCTTAAACTACTATTATATGGTCCTCTAGATTCCCGCCCCAAAATGGCATGCCCCAAGTACTTTTATACCTGCAATGAAATCGGCACCCTACTTTGGAAGATCATCATTCGCCTTCAGTGCTAGTGCCACAGCAGCAGCTAAGATTTTGACTCTCAATACAGCACCATAAAGTTGAGGCGTGCCTAAAACAGGCACAACCTGCCTAATCATGCATATTTTCCTCAATACCGCGGGAGATGGCCTAGTGCCATGTGTTTCGGAGAACATTACATGTGTAGATTGGCTTGTTAACCGTGTCGACCACTAGTGGAGTGTCTTGAGATTTTATTAGAAGACTTCGCCGGAGTATGCTGCGTAGTCAGAGGCCGTCCGGTCTCCCTTTAAAAAACAAGAAAAAACCGAAGCGCCTCACTTTCAGTAGTATGATTATTAGCGTAATAGAAGTGATGTACTTTTTGTTTAAAAATAATATTTTTTTGTATTTTTAATATTAATACATTAAAATAATTAAAAATTATTATTTTATTTTTTTAAAATAATTAAACCACAGTACTAAACATACCTTATTTTAAAGTGTTTTACTAGATGGTTTGCTGGTCGCTTCAAAGTTTCTACCAAGCTCTCCACGCGCTTGGGCACGGTTAGTCTGTTTTGTCTCCGGAGCCTAAGGTCCTCCATCAAAAAATTTAAGTAGAAGCTTTTTCATTAAGATAGAATATAATCAAGCCTCTAAGTAACAGAGCCTTTACTGAAGAAGCTAAACCTTCGGGGTCAGATCTGTTTCGTTGTCTTTCCTTTCCCGTGTTTTCACCCTTCAATGATTTTCTATGTATTTTCTCTGTACCTGATAAAGATAGTGTGTACTGAATCGTATTTAGATATTAAAATATATTTTTATTTTTTAAAATTTATTTTGAATATTAATATATCAATGCAACTGCGTAAGACTTAAGCCTATTATAATCCAATAGCTTAATATAAAAAATATAAAATTAAAAATCTTACGTCAATGTATTTTTATTGGATGAGACATTACATTTTAATAAAAATAATAGGAGGAGTGTTTGTTATCATGGTTTAACATGTATTTTAAAAATTTTTTTAAACTTTTTTTAGCTAGAAAAAAATAAAATGTATTTTTTTATGATTTTTATACATCAATGTTAAAAATTTAAAACAAAATTACACATGGCACCGTACTATTAGACACAAAGTAACCTATACCTTTCTGGGCAAGTCTTCGATAGAAAATTTTGTCTCCCAATAGGTTAGAGTAGGAGGCCCACTCCGCCATAGGTACGTAGTTTCAAACCACTAAAGTCTAAACAGACACGTATACGAGCCTGGAAGAAAAATGTGCCTGCACTTTTTTGTCTTTCCATTTTAAAAATGCTTTTAATTTTTTTTAAAACATTTTCGTTATTGTAAATTAATATTTTTTGATATTTTTGTTTTAATATTTTATATTAAAAATAATTTTTAAAAATAAAAAAAATATTATTTTAATATAAAAATCATTTATAAAAATAACTGTTACCCCGTTAATATTATTTTTTTTATTTTAAAAAATAAAAGTAATTACCGCCCAGCTACACTGTGATCTGCGAGGATTCCACACCACGTGTCGGTAATCATAATGGCAACCAGTTAAGTTGTATGATGTTTTCGACCTTGTCTTCTTTTTACGTCCCCTCAGATTCTTTAACCCATTTTTTCAAGCATCAGCATGTGGATAGCTGGCTTATGTTCGGTTCCAACTTCAGTGGCCTCTCATTTTCAAAAGGGATGCTTAGATTGTAATAAATATTGTTTTTTTAAAGATGTTACTTGATTAAAATAATGTTTTTAATTTTAAAAAAATATTTTTGATATAATACATTAAAAATATCTCAAAAAAAATTATTTTTTTTCAAAAATATTTTTAAAACATGCCATGGCAAGCCTACACAGACACAGAATGACATTAGGGAATCACTGGTCTTTTTGCATCGCCAAAGAGTTCTCTTGCTTTTCTAGTACAGTACAATATTTGATTCCATATATTCAATGGCTACAAGAAAGAACCGTGGGTCGGTTCAGTTGCGCATGATTTGACTACTCAAAACTTGTACTGTAAGTAAAGATTAGTGTAGGAAAATAGCTACTTTGCACCCTTAAAAGCTTCGCTCATTCCTGCCTTTTCGTTCAACTTTGCATGAAGGAGAAAAAAGTTCTTGAAAATAATAAGAAACTAATAATTCAGAAACCCATTTTTTTAAAGTCACTCCTTCTCCTGGCTCCAGATGAAGCACTAGCTATAAAGAGTAAATTGACTAGTTTTCAAAGCTGACAAACACTGCCCTGACAAAGATAAAAAGGCACAAGAGCCAATATCTGTATATACTATATGTTACAAATTAGACCTGGTCTGACCTTATTTTAGGGACTGAAAGCGAGAACGAAAGCAATATAATAGAAGGCAAAAGGTTCTCGTGAAATACAAAGAACATGTAAAGAATAGCAAAAAAGTTACATCGTGAGTTGCGTTCCTTGTTTGCAGGGTGTACTCAAGAACAACGCTACCTTATCACTTCTTTCCTCCTCATCCCTTGCCAAACAAAGCCATCTAACTTTCTGCCTTTACCTTGCTGGTCCCAGATCTTGCGTTTCTCTCCCTGATTCGAAGCAGCAAGCTCTCTTTTCTCACTCTCACTCGAACGTCAAAACCTCGAACGTCAAAACAATTTCTAGGAAGAAAAATGCACCTTAAACGGTCCCTTCAAGTCTACATGTTGCAGAAGCTAGTGGTTTTAACTCTCCTTGTACTGTTGCTCCCGGGAGATCAGAAAGAAGAGGCAATGATGAATGTTCATGGCTTACAAGATCAGCAGCCACCAAGTAGCACAGAGAAGCAGCACCAGAAACGTTTGAGGCGCTCCTTTGATACGTTCTTTTCGAGCAAAAGAAAAGTTCCAAACTCTTCAGACCCTCTCCACAACCGCTGAGCCAAGTCTTTCTGTTTCTTTTCAAGAAGTAATTACTCCTTGGCCTCTTGAGAAATTGAAGATCAATTTTGTTGCTAGTTGTTGAATTAGCTAGAGCTGCAAAATGTGAAAGGAAGACCTTGAAGGTCACATACTAGATGCTGCAACCACAATACCACTAATTAGTCTGCATTTTGGCAATGATTGTGATGGCTGAGAATCGCTTGAAAGCTAGGATGCAGTTCTATGCTCGTAAGATGTGTCTGTGCTTTCAACTCTAGCTGTTCTTTTTGTAGCTCGATACCAAGTGTATGTAATTTATGAACATATTAACTAGTGATCAAGAAACATGTTCAACTTTTCTGTGAATGTTCTGTATTAATTGTCTTTTCTGTGCACTTATTACTTTTTTTCGATGGTTTGATGATCAACAGCGAGACCATCCGCCACTGCTCCATCCCCTTCGTCGGAGAACACCTTGTTAAACTCCACCATGTCTCTACTGACGTGTGCTCTCTCATACCACCCCAAACTTCTGGCTATTAGCCATCATATAGCCCATATTCCTTGCAAGCAGGATGCTTGCCCATATAGTATGTCATCGATCGATGTTACCGTTAAATTCATCCAGCTTATAGGATTAATTTAAAAAATCTAGAACCCAGCTTAGCCTGAATTGCGTTTCTAACAGAGCCAGATGAGATGTTGAATTTGTCAATTTCATTCAACCGTGTTAGAATTTTAGTGATGCTGCTGACTTATCTAATAATATCAAGAAAAAAAATATTTTAATAAAAAAAATTGATTCAATAACCAGGTGTTAATCAGATCCTAAAGTCAAGGACTTACAGCCATTTTGCTCATACAAAAGCCCATAAATGATAGGATGACAATATACGAGCCCATATAGAGGGAGAAGCATAGCTTCTTGTGGCCGACCCTCTGGCCTCTGCAATCAAGAAGCTAACATAGGTGACCGCTGAATTGAGCATGTATCACATCATGTTCTTGTTTTAAACACCCATTAATCTCTTATTTTCTTTGCCGAATCATTTTGCATGCTAGGTGCTTCAAGTCAAGTAGTTGTTTTAATTTTAATTCTTGAATTTGTTTTATTGACATTTTTTAGTGTTTCTAGTTTTGAATTATTAATGTTAAAATTTAAAAAAAAAACCATTTTAATATATTCTCATACAAAAAAATAATTTTAAAAAAGTACAATTCTAAAATTCCTAATACACATGGTATTCCTTTAGCGGTTTGAGAACAAGATTTAAAATAAAATTTGAGTTTTTTTAATTTAACTTTTATATTTTTTAAAAATAATTTTAAAGTGTTAATATTAAAAATATTTTTAAAAACAATCATAATTAAACCGCACACACACTAAAAAAACAAATCATTCAATTGGAGATGCTGGAAAGAAATTTAATGGTGACCTCCCTGGCTGGTGGAGCCGCAAGTATTGCCATTCCACAGCGCTTGTTTCTTCTGAAAATCTAATCCACATCTGTCTGATTGATAAATGGCAGGCTTCGAAATTCAATGCCGCGGATTGTACTCAAGTTGACTACAATTTATTTATTTATTCTTCAGTAAATATCTGCTTTCTAGACTTCTAGATCATGCACAATCTTTTTAGTTTTGAAAAGTAAATTAATTAGTATTTTATTTAAAAAATTAATGTTTCGTTCTTTTTTATTTTATGTTTTAATCCAATTAAATTATTAATTTTATTTTAAGAAACACAAAAAAATAGATATTATGAAAAGACTGATGGCAAAGGAAGATATTTTTAGAATAAAATATTATTAAATTAAACATGGTTAATACTATAAAAAACTAAATAATCAGTTTTTAAAATAAGAAAAATTAATTAATTAATTTCTTAGAACTAGGAAGACTATATTTAATTAATACTCAGAGTAATCTTCGTTAGAAGGACAAAAAGGCAGACCTAAACATTGCTCTAAACTCCTGGTCGTGGGGCCAGACACTGTGTTAATTTAGAAATTCGTTAGAAGGACAAAAAGGCAGACCTACCCCGTAAAAAACATAGGAAACATTGCTCTAAACTCCTGGTCGAGGGGCCAGACACTGTGTTAATTTAGAAATTCAATTCAGGCAGCATAAAGTGGAT